AAACTCCTCCAACTGCATCCACGAATCCTCCAAATCAGATTTCCCACGCCAATGAACGAGTAATTCCAACTGTCCGTTCGTATCATACCGCTTCTCCAAAATATCCTCTGGTTCCCACTGATCATCAACCGACACAATAGCTCCTGGTGGCAAAACACTGCTCTGCTCTTGCTGTCCCAAAGCAAGTTTCAACTGTGAGACATGGAAGACAGGATGGACACGAGCATGTGCCGGCAAACGAAGTTTATAAGCTGTTGCACCCACCTTCGCAAGAATCTCATAAGGACCATAATACTTAGCAGAGAGCTTCTGGTAAGTCCGCTTCACCACAGAGTGTTGACGATAAGGTTGCAACTTCAAGTAAACCATGTCACCAATCTCGAAATGGACCTCTCTTCGCGACTTATCCGCCTGTTGCTTCATAATATCCTGAGCACGTAATAAATTCGTCTTCAACGCCTCTAACACTTCATCCCGCGCACGTAAAGCAATATCCAACTCAAAGTTAGAAGTAGATCCTAGTTCAAAACGTAACAGGGGAGGAGGATCACGACCATACAACACCTTAAATGGAGTGGTTTGCAAAGACTTGTGATACGATGTATTATACCACAACTCTGCCCAAGCCAAGTACGAGTGCCATGAACGAGGATGTGAAGAACTGAAACATCTCAGATACGTCTCCAAGCAACGGTTAAGCACCTCGGACTGACCATCCGTTTGAGGATGAAAAGCCGTGCTGTACTTCAACTTGGTACCCGCCAAACGAAACACCTCAGACCAAAATGAACTTAAGAATATTCGATCTCTGTCTGATACGATACTTCTGGGGAACCCATGCAACCTGACAATCTCATTTACAAACTGCTGCGCCACATCCAAAGCTGTAAAAGGATGTTTTAAACCCACAAAGTGCGCAAACTTACTCAACCGGTCAATAACCACCAATATCACGTTAAATACATTCGACTTCGGAAGTCCTTCAATGAAGTCCATATTAATATCATCCCACACCTTCTCCGGAACTGGTAACGGTTGGAGTAACCCTGCAGGCGATAGTGTTGAATGCTTATGTGTCTGACACACGTTGCAGGCCGCTACATACTCTTGGATCCTCTTAAACATCCCTTTCCAAAAGAACGAACACTGAACCCGTTTTACTGTCTTTAAAACACCAGAATGACCTCCCAACTTGCCATCATGAGCCTCCTGAAGGATGATAGGAATGAAGGAGGAAGATTTAGGAATAACCAAACGGTGCTTAGACCACAATCTTCCATCAACCACATGAAACTTCTTTGACTTGAATTCACCCGCCTGAAGCTTTAAAATTGTTCCTTGAATTTTCAAATCCTCACTGATCTCTTTATACAAGTCCTCCCACTGCAAAGCCGTTGGAACCGTCACCGATAGGAGCAAGGTAGAAACAGACATGGAACGAGAGAGACCATCTGCCACTCTGTTCTCAGGACCCGGTTTGTAGAATATTTCGAAATCAAAACCCAATATCTTTGTTAACCATTTCTGGTATTCCAAATTCACCTCTTTCTGTTCCAACAGAAACTTCAGACTACGTTGATCTGTGTGTACATGGAACTTAAGTAATGCTTCCACTTCCTAATAGCCATGACAATAGCCATTAATTCTCTCTCATACGCAGGTTTCAATTGTTCTCTTGCAGTCAAAGCGTGACTAAAGAAAGCTATTGGCCGTTTATGTTGCATCAAAACAGCACCCAACCCAAACCCCAAAGCATCAGATTCGATCACAAAGATCTGAGTAAAGTCCGGCAATGCCAATACAGGGGCGTGAACCATAGCATGCTTCAGGTTATTGAACGCTTCTTGTGCCTCAATAGACCACCCAAACTGATCTTTCTTCAATAAGGTTGTCAAAGGACGTGCAATGATACCATAGTTTTTGACAAAGTTTCGATAGTAACCAGTGAGCCCCAAAAAACCTCTCAGTTGTTTAACCGACTTAGGATCAGTCCATCGTTGCATAGCTGCTATCTTCTCTGAATCCGTGGCAACTCCATTAGCAGAGATCATGTGGCCCAAATATTCCACCGTCTCTACGCCGAAAGTGCACTTTTTCTGATTAGCAAATAAACTCTGTTCACGCAACACCTGTAAGACTTGTCTTAAGTGATCCTCATGAGATAGATAATCCTTGCTATATATCAGAATATCATCGAAGAACACCAAGACGAACCGTCGAAGAAAAGGCTTGAAAACTTTGTTCATCAAGGCCTGAAATGTTGCCGGAGCATTGGTGAGACCAAAAGGCATCACCAAGAACTCATAATGACCCTCTACTGTACGAAAAGCTGTTTTAGGAACATCCTCTTTCTTCATCCTAATCTGGTGATAACCTGAGCGCAAGTCAAGCTTCGAAAACAAAACAGCTCCATGTAATTCGTCCAGCAGTTGATCTATAACTGGTATCGGGTACTTGTCCAAGACTGTTGCTCTGTTAAGAGCTCTATAATCCACACAAAATCGCAGAGAACCATCTTTCTTTTTGACAAGTAACACCGGGCTTGAGAACGGGCTCGTACTCGGTTGTATGATACCAGACGAAAGCATATCATTCACCATCTGTTCCATGGCCACTTTACTGGCATGAGGATACCTATATGGACGAACAGAAACTGCATTAACTCCTGGTTTCAATGTAATTGAGTGTTCATTCCCCCTGAGTGGAGGTAATGAAGATGGGATCTCAAAGACGTCTTTAAAGTCCTGGAGTAGCAGTGGGAACTTTGGTGAAGCCTCGGGAGTCGACGATGTAGCAGTAGAGGTAGCAAGCAGCACTTCACTTCCTGACTTACTAGCTCTAAAGACCGGCTTCAAGGACTTGAATGAGAACTTGGTACAATGCAGGGCCTTCTCCCCATACAAAGTTACCTTGTTCCCATTATAGACAAACGAAAGGACCTGCTCCTTCCAGTCCACTTCGCACTTGCCTAATGTTTCAAGCCATTGAATGCCAAGTATCACATCGACGTTACCCAGTTCTAACGAGATGAAGTTACTGATGAAGTTGGTTTGATTTAACTGGAAAGTTACTGCTTGGCAAGTTCCCATAGCGTTTACAGTCAATCCATTTCCCAACAACACCGGCAAGCTGCTAGCAACAGAAACACTCAATTGCAGCTTGTCCACAACCTCTGGAGATATGAAGTTATGGGATGCTCCACTGTCGAGCATGACTATCACCTCGTGTGCACATATGAATCCTCTCATTTTGGTGGTTTTCGGAGAATCTATGCCAAGATATGAATTAAGTGACAACGTATATAATGTCTGAGTACTCATATCCTGCAGTTGCGTATCATCCTCGTCTCTAACATCAACAACTTCCAACTCCAAACCGTTGATCACCGTTAGAATCCTTAACTCTTTTTGAGGACAAACCGCTCTATGTGCTGGAGACCATGGAGTTTTACACCTGAAACAGACTTTATCTTTCCTCATACGGTCCAGTTCTGCATCAGAATGTTGCAAACGTGGTCTCACATTAGGTCGTTGAGGTAATGTGTTCTCTTTGTTCACCGTTGAATCCAATTTCAGTGGCTCCGTACGTTGCTTTGTGTACGTGGATGCACGAGATCCCGGCGTTTGTCGTTGATAGCCTCCCCGCCCTTCACTAGCGGCCGAGCTAATCACACTACAAAACGTCGTACTCTGCATACGTAACACCGCCAATTTGTGTTGAGTCAAGGTAGTAGGTTCCTTCATACGGATGACTTCCTTCATATCTGGTTTCAAACCATTGAAGAACACTTTGATGAGATGTCTCTCATCAATGCCAGTAACTTGATTCCTCAATGCTTCAAACTCACTAACATACTCCTCAATTTCTCCTTCTTGTTGTAAACGGAACAAACGTGCTGCCGGATCATTATCAATAGAACCACCAAATCTGTCTAACATACGCTCAGTGAACTGCTCCCAATTCAAGAACGGATCATTGACACTCTCTCCATTAAACCACTGCAACACAGGGCCCTCCAAGCACAGAGAGATCAACTGAAGCTTCTCTTCTTCATTGTAGTTACCAAACCTGAAAAATCTCTCCACACGCGATATCCAATCGAAAGGCAATTTCTCAGAAAACACAGGCATTTCAACTTTTCTCAACATCTTATCCCGATTAGCTAGAGATCCGTGAATTCCCCGATAACCTAATTGTGTTTGAGATCTTTCCGGTTCAGAATCAAGAAACTGTACCTGTTCACGACGAGGCTCCGACGACGTCGCAGTCTCCTTCCCCGGCCGTTGATTGACAATCGCGGAATCTTCCAATCGAGATAGTACCGCCGTCATATGATTCATCTGTTTCTCAAACGCTTCGAAACGAGAAATCGATTCCGTCGCCATGGACTCAATCTTCTTCTCAACTGAATCGAGTTTCTTCGTCGTCGCACGTTCGCTTTGAGCTAACTTCTCGTAGTTATGCTTAGTCAGTTCGATCTCTTCTTGAATCTGGTGAAAGTCCATGGATCTCGCGATCTCCGAACCTGTCACCTTCTCTCGATCACCTCCGTGATGCGTCTCCACCATCTCTAAGCTCCGCGTTGGTTCCGATCAAGTTTCGCCGCACCAGTGATAGACTTTAGTTATCTCTCTCTTATTAACAATGAAGAACAGGATGTTATAGCTTTGTATAAGATCTCGAGTTACACTCTCATGGCGAGTACACTCTCAATCTCCGATCTCATCACGATCGGGAAGTACAGACTCATAACGTCTATAACAAACTACACAAAGGCATAAGACTCTCTAAAGAATTACAGACTCTATTTATACTCCTTCTTCTCAATCAATACTCCCTAACGAACATATAACGGCAAACCCTCTTACTCAAGCCAAGTCTTTGCTCCCATTCTTAAACTCCCACTCCCGTGTTATTCAAGCTTCCTCTCTTGTTGCTACTACACCCCTCTTCTTCCTATAATAAACTCTCTTGAGCCTATCATATCTCTTGGTTATATGATGAGACTTGAGTGTGATCACTCTCCTAAAAGTAAGCTACTTTTGATGTACTATTGCTGAATTTCTTCAGTTTGATATCTACCCTCCATGTTGGAATCGCATTGTGTTCCAAATAGATGACTACTCTATTTTAATTGCATGGTTATTTTAGTATTCATAAAGGGTGAACCTTTGCTTCTTGACATTGTGTTTGAGGATAAGTTCTGTTGAAGGTGTAGACTTTGAAATTGTAGCTTTATTGAATTTTGATTTATAGGATATTTGGAACACAACATGGTATCCAAAGGCTTCAGACCATGTGAGCACGGACAAGCGTTGGTATGTTGTCGATGCAACAGACAAGATTCTCAGTAGATTAGCATCAACCATTGCTAATCACATCCGTGTGAAGAACCTTGCCTCTTACACTCCCAGTGTCGACATGGGAGCCTTTGTCATTGTGGTACGAGATTCTTCTATATGATGTGTTGTCACCTGCACTAAAGACTTTGTGAAGTTACTCTTTATCATGAAACCTATGTTTAGGTGAATGCTGAGAAAGTTGCTGTGTCTGGAAAGAAAAGAAAGCAGAAGCTGTACATGAGGCATTCATGATGGCCTGGTGGTATGACTGTAGAAACATTTGATCAGCTGCAGCAGAGGATCCTTGATAGAATGAGCATGTGTTTCATTCTTTATTATGATGTATTGACTTCAAGTTATGAATGAAAGCAAGTATTTCTAGTGAAAAAAAGTGAGACAAAGAGGATACAAGTTTGAGATTAATTATTGACCAAATGTTAATCTGTGGTTTAAAATGTAATTGTAGTTTATAATTTATTAAATATTTAAGTGTAACATTAAAGTTTCAGCGAATTTTAATTAGTTCAAAATATTTTAGGGGTTTATACCCTAAACTCCAAACTTAAATCCTACATACAAAATCATAAATCTAAACTTTTCAAATTTATCATATAAAAGTGTAAATTCAAACTCCAAGTATATTCTAAAACTCAAACTAAAATCTTATGTTTAATTTTAATATTAAAAAAAACATTAACCATTGTCACCCTAAACCCTAAACCCTAAACCCTAAACCCTAAAACTTAACCCCAAACCACTAATATATACCTAATTATATAGAACATTTTAAACTTAAATTATATCAAATCTATTTTCAAAAATTAATCACAAATTTTGTACCATAAATCCCAAACCTTAAAGTATTTTACAAATCCTACACATTCACCAAACCTTATATCATAAAACAACATACTCTTATCACCAAACCTTATATCTTAAACACTAACTTTTCATTTTAATTTTTTAATCTTAAAATTTAAATTATAAATCACAATCATAATATAAAACTATACACATATAGTCATTATTTTTATATATCTAAACTCTAAACCTTCCATACATATATCCCAAACAACAATAACAAATTTTAAAATTTCAAAATTTAAAATTCAATTCTAATATTAAATTTAAAATTGTGAAATCTAATTCTTTGAATTTTTTCTTAAATTATTTCTCTACATTAAAACTTACCACTAATCCCTTTATTATTAAAGGAGAAGCAATTTTAAAAAGAAACCTTCAATATGTAATATATTTACAAGCATGCCATTTGCTGATGTGTCGTCATGACAGTTCTCCTCAGCTCATTTTTAAAAATGTCCATTCATATCTAGAGTATTTACTTAGAATGCCATTGGTATGATTTTAAATACAAAACTGCAGTTACACTTATATAAACCTGCATAATATATGGATTTATTAGAACTCCCGTGTGCTCTTTCTGCCTTTCGTACTTGCTTTTAAACCTATATTCCATTAATGAAATTGAAGAAATATTTTTACCATGATATCAGTTCAAAGACCAACACTTATAACAACATTGTTTCTTTCAGCTTTAACAGCTGCGTAACATTATATAACCTGCAGAATCAGATATGAACTGGAAATCAAATGCAATATCAAACGATTGTAGAACAATATAAGTTATGAATAACAATATGAAAAGACATGACAGCAGCTAAATTTATTATAAGAAAAGTTATGAAGGTCGGCCATACAATCATAACAAGTGTATTCTCTAATCTAGCATGACATTTCTAATAATAGAATCAAGTAACTTGCAAATATATCCTCCTCATATACGATCTCCTGTGTAATATATTATACTAAGACTCATGTTTTAAACTTACATCAAAGTTCAAGTACATATTGATGAAACTCATTCCTGATCATTGCAATATTAACTTTCATAAAAAAGTTTGTTTTCGTTAATGTTTCTCTATTTCTAAATTCATGTCGACTAATATAATATATTTCTAAATTCTTACTCCCTCTGTTTTTAAATAAGTGTCATTTTGACTCTTTGCACATAAATTAAGAAAATTGTATAATAGACTAATATATCCCTATTTAATGTATGTTTAATTAAATGAAAATAATTTAAGTAAAATATTATTGGTTATTCAAAAGGGTAAAAAATAGATTTAATGTACAAAATTACATTGGGATTGTAGAATGACACTTTTTTGAAACAAAATTAAAAGGTTAAAGTGACACTTATTTAGAAACAGAGGGAGTATTGATTATAGTTACCGGACTAAATGCACTCGGTCAAACATTTAGTATCTTTAGATATTAATTGCATATTTGAAATGGAAAATCAGATATCGGGGTTACCAATAATAGCTTAGTGATTATGTTTACAATTATTTTTGAAGTTTTTAGTCTGTAATTACTATTGGAATAAAATAAGTCCTCTTTGATATATTGTAATACATTTAATCTTATTCCCCTAATATTAATACATCAATATGTGACTTTGTACTTATTTTTTTCACAACTGGGGCTCAGGTATTTTTGAATTCTATACATATGCAAGTGGAGTTATTATAACTCAAAGATTCATAATAGGTGGAGTAACTATTTTCATGTGTTTAGTCACAGTAGTTATAAAACTGGTTACAAAAAAATTATGTTTACTTTCTAATTCCATTTTATGTATTTTTGTTTACCATTCTTTTTCATAAAACAAGCAAATTTTACAAATTTAAAACATAACTTTTATATATGACTTCACAATTGTTAAATTAGGTCATACAAAAAAATCTATACATTTAATATTTTAATTAGCCATTAAAATATTTTTATATTACTTCACTCCGCGCAAGGCACGGGTATCCACCTAGTATTTGGTATATTGAAACAAAAATAGAATAAGCAATAGTTACAAAATATGACTAGTAAAAATAAAGTGACCAATAATGTACAAAGACTAGGATTACACTAGATTTAATCACAACCGTTGATTAAATTACATCTAATGGATAGAAATTAAAAAAAAAATTAGTTATCTTCGTACTTGTTTCTTATTGGTCAATTCATCCAAGACAAGGATCTCTCTTTTCTCTGATTCCTCTCACGACATCTCATCTTGTCTCTCTCTCTCTCTTCTCTCTCACATTTTTCTAACGAAAGAATTACATCCAGAGACAGTTTTATGTTTTTTATTTTACAATAGAGCAGTTTTCACTCTTAAGATACTTTTTGTTAATTAAATTCATTTTTTCTCCTTTCACTCTAACTAATTACGTAACTTGAGAGAATAGAAACATTTATTTATTTATCAAAGTGGGTCCATGTATCTCTCTTCATCTTCTTCCTTCTCCCAAACTTTGCATTTTTTTTTTAAAATAAAATTTGATGTTTCAGTTTACACTTTCTAGAAACAGTATACTTATTCATTATATACATTATTTTTTCTATCTTTTAAGATATGTCAAGCTACATCTTTGATATTAGTGTAATGGTGGTTCAACCAGAGCAACTAGCTTTTCTTGTTGTCCTCTGTTTTTGCTCTGAAAAACGTAGGCATATCTCAACCGAGCTCAATTTTTGAGCCATCACATTTGGTTCTTCAACAAATCAGAAACAAAAAAAAAAATATTTGTTCAAGTTTTTGAATGTAAAACTATGAATTAAGATTGAAATCTATTAGATGTGGACAGAATACATAAAAATAAGTGAAAATGTAAAGAATCATGGAAAATAAGGGTTTCTGGTCGACATTGACCAATGAAGAAGACAAGGTTATTTTCGTAATTTTATTAATAAAAAAAAATTCTGTGTACAAATTATATTTAACGTACACATGTACACCATTATTTATTGTACACATTTACGCTATTATACTTTATCGTACACACACAATGTGAAGATGAGACTGTTCATTTGATACTAAAACGTATTAAGATTGTTCATTTTGATATGCTTGAGTTTATGGCTTTGGAATTATTAGTGAGACATGATTCAAGTATGTATGTACACCATGAATATATAATATTGTACATGTGTACATCCATATTTGTAGGAAACAAAGTCAGAAGTATAACACTTATGATATCAAAATCTAATATAAGCTTCATATACAACAACAAGGACCTTTTTTTATTTCACTTAAACCACATTTTTTTATTCACGTAAACCAAGATGTGTACATGTTTTGTTGGTGTACAATTGTGACTGTAACTAAAATGGTATCCATGTTATAGATTTACGTATGTACATTCAAATAAATCGTTTAAACCTCCTTATATTGTACATACTTAACATGCATAACCATTTGTTCTTACTGATGATGGTGAAAATGTACACATATAATCTTTGTACACATGTGAAAATGTACATGTGTATACATCTCTAGTGTTCATGTGATTTTGTACGAATCATAACTTCTGCGATGTATAAAAGAACTAGTGTATATGTGATTTTCTATAAAACATTGTATTTGTGGACATGTGATTTTTATAAAAGAGCTAGTATACATGTGATGTTTTTATAAAATCATTAGATATCATAACTTCCTTTGTAGATGGATTTGTGAGCATCAATGCTTTGTTTTGATTCAAGAACCAGAAAAAATCAGAGTGGACAGAAGATACATTCGCCTTGTTGGAGAAACAATGTATAACGTTTATGTATTATTGTAAAAATTTTGTGTATTTGTAAATCATTGTACATGTAAAACATATAAAGGTTGTTCACTTTACTCATGTACACGAACAAAAGTACTTACACAACTTATGTACACATCCACATCATCTGAATTATGTACACATCCATGTGATCACCCAATATACTCGTGTACACTAACATTAAGATACATGGATAGGTTATTTTGTGTACATCCATGTGTTTACTTTCTAATTCAAGTTCTTTCGAGAAAACAAAATTTTACGGTTTTTACCGTAAAACTCGAACAATGGGACTGATCGAGATGAAACGAGAGATATTTCGACCGTGGTTCAGAACATGATCGTATCGAAGGACGTATGCCTTGAATCCAGAACGTGGGAGATCGAGACTCCGGATAATCAGCTCGACGTATGATGAACCGAACCGGACCGGTTCAGCTCGCCGTACGGCGAGCTATCCGAGGAGGCTCGTAGCTCGCCGTACGGCGAACTGAACAGGATGATTCAGCTCGCCGTGCGTCGAGCTATCAGGAGAGCTTGTAGCTCGACGTACGTTGAGCTATCGGGGGAGCTCGTAGCTCGATGACGTCGAGCTATCGAGAAGCCCATAGCTCGCAATTT